TCACTGGAGACGGGAGACCTACCAGAAATATGGAAGACGGCGAATGTGGTCCCAATATACAAAAAGGGCGACAGACAAGAGGCACTGAACTACAGGCCAGTGTCCTTGACTTGTATACCATGCAAGGTGATGGAGAAGATCGTGAGAAAAAACCTGGTAACACATCTGGAGAGAAGGGACTTCGTGACAAATCGCCAACATGGATTCAGGGAGGGTAAATCTTGCCTTACAGGCTTGATAGAATTCTACGATCAGGTGACACAGATTAAGCAAGAAAGAGAGGGCTGGGCGGACTGCATTTTCTTGGATTGTCGGAAAGCCTTTGACACAGTACCGCATAAGAGGCTGGTACATAAGCTGGAGAGACAGGCAGGTGTAGCTGGTAAGGTGCTCCAGTGGATAAGGGAGTATCTAAGCAATAGGAAGCAGAGAGTTACGGTGAGGGGTGAGACCTCCGATTGGCGTGAAGTCACCAGTGGAGTCCCACAGGGCTCTGTACTCGGTCCTATCTTGTTTCTGATATATGTAAAGGATCTCCCGGAGGGTATCGATTCATTTCTCTCAATGTTTGCGGACGATGCCAAAGTTATGAGAAGGATTAAAACAGAAGAGGACTGTTTGAGGCTTCAAGAAGACCTAGATAAGCTGCAGGAATGGTTAAACAAATGGTTGTTAGAGTTTAACCCAAGCAAATGTAATGTAATGAAGATAGGTGTAGGGAGCAGAAGGCCAGATACAAGGTACCATCTGGGAGATGAAATACTTCAAGAGTCAGAGAAAGAAAAGGACTTGGGGGTTGATATCGCGCCAGACCTGTCTCCTGCAGCCCATATCAAGAGGATAACATCAGCGGCATATGCCAGGCTGGCCAACATAAGAACGGCATTCAGAAACTTGTGTAAGGAATCATTCAGAACTTTGTATACCACATATGTTAGGCCAACCTTGGAGTATGCAGCCCCAGCATGGAGTACATATCTAGTCAAGGATAAGACTAAACTGGAAATGGTTCAAAGGTTTGCCACCAGACTAGTACCCGAGCTGAGAGGTATGAGCTACGAGGAGAGACTACGAGAATTAAACCTCACTTCGCAGGAAGACAGAAGAGTTAGGGGGGACATGATCACCACATTCAAGATTCTCAAGGGAATTGATAGGGTAGATAAAGACAGGCTATTTAACACAAGGGACACACGCACTAGCGGACACAGGTGGAAACTGAGTGCCCAAATGAGCCACAGAGATGTTAGAAAGAACTTTTTTAGTGTCAGAGTGGTTGACAAATGGAATGCATTAGGCAGTGATGTAGTGGAGGCTGACTCCATACACAGTTTCAAGTGTAGATATGATAGAGCCCAGTAGGCTCAGGAACCTGTACACCTGTTGATTGACGGTTGAGAGGCGGGACCAAAGAGCCAGAGCTCAACCCCCGCAAGTACAACTAGGTGAGTACAGAGAGAGAGAGAGACCTACACACACACGCCAGGTGAAAAATACCCCAGCAAATTTTCCCCAGACCTGCCTGTCTCGACGTCTCTGGAGAATTTTCCCTTCGCCTGGGGTAATTTGTCGGTAAGGGGGGGAAGGGGGAGTTCGAGGTCGGTCCTGTCAGTTCTTAGGGAGGAGACATAAATAGGTAATTATAAGGATAAATAGATAAACAGGGGGAGGAATAGGGAATGCAGCAGAGCCTACGCCTGCTAGGGATGACTGAGTGACTTGTAGTGTTGTCGGTCAGTGGGGAGGAGGAGGGATGGTAAGGGAGGGAGAGTGTTGGGGAGAGAGGAAGGGGAAGTGTAGGGTGATGGAGGGTACGATGAGAGAGGGTAGGGTACTGGGTGAGGGACGTTGGGTATTCGGTGAGGGAGGTTGGGTATTGGGTGAAGGGGGGTAGGGTGGGGGATTATTGCCAATTTAACCGTCAATTATTGATTTTCACGGATTAATCAATTTACAAACCACAACAGGTGACTGAGCCGCACTTGTCACCGGAGCTGGAACGAGTGAGAGTGAGAGCATCTTGCTTCAACACGTAGACACTGATGCTATGAAGTCGAGCGAGTATATGAAGGCTCTGGTATTAAGTTGACTCCTGGTTCATGCCAGCTCCACACAAACTTAACATTAAATTCAGTTTTTACCCGATGGGTACACTTAATAAACGAGTTTCTAGACTTCAGACGAGCTGAAGTCGGACAGCAGCGTCCAGCTTGTCGTTTCATCAGAAACATCACTACTGTCCAGAAGAACCCACGTTGATAAAAACGAAAACAAATCGAAGATTCATTAATATCTTATGCTCCTTATAGGCCTCCTTCTCCCCATAGGTCGTCTCTTCTATCCGTATTGGCCTCTCAACAAACATGGCTTCCAGAAGAGACTCTCCCTCTCTCTCTCCTATGCCCTTGTTCTCACACGCCTTCGCTCTCCCATGCTGTCTCCCTCTCCCATTCTCCCTCCTCCGCCCCGTCACCTGTTCCCGCGCCTTATCAGGCAGCGCCGAGCGCCTCGTGTTAACAAAATACAATTCAACTTCAATACAATATGTTCGACTGGCCTGCCACCGTGTCTGCCGCTGCCGGCCTGCCTCCGTGTCTGCCGCTGCCGGCCTGCCTCCGTGTCTGCCGCTGCCGGCCTGCCTCCGTGTCTGCCGCTGCCGGCCTGCCTCCGTGTCTGCCGCTGCCGGCCTGCCTCCGTGTCTGCCGCTGCCGGCCAGCCTCCGTGTCTACCGCTGCCGGCCTGCCTCCGTGTCTGCCGCTGCCGGCCTGCCTCCGTGTCTGCCGCTGCCGGCCTGCCTCCGTGTCTGCCGCTGCCGGCCTGCCTCCGTGTCTGCCGCTGCCGGCCTGCCTCCGTGTCTGCACCCGTCTCTGGCAGCCAGTCTGCCCTTCTTGTCAGCCGGCCTGCCCCCATTTCTACCTCCCCCCTGCCCTACACAACCCATGTCTGCTCTCCTCTGCAACCTACCTTTCCCCCCCCCTTCTTCACCCCCCACCCCCCTACCTCCCAGTTTCCTTCCCCCTCATGCACCTCTTCCATTCTTTTACCAGTTCCCACGACCTCCAACACCCCCCCCCCGCTCGAACTCGGCCTGAGCCTTACTTACGAGCCAAATGTAATTTTCATGTAAATGTGTATGCAAATGAGATTACACTTGGCCTGAGCATGGCTTCTATTCATCCCCCTCAGACTCTCCTTTAATTATGAAGGGATTAGGGAGTTCCACACACACAAGCCAGCCACAAGAGGGGAGGGAGGGGAGGAGGGAGGGGATTTACAAGCCCAGCTCATCTGTAGCAAGAGAAGGCATATTGCAATAGAGGAGCGGATTACAGTGCACTGTGCATTAGTACAGTGATTTAGGGGGATTGTAGGACATTTAATAGTATGCAAAGGATTTATATAGTGTTCCTGAGATTAACATAGTGTTCTGGGGATTAATACAGTATTCAGGGGGATTAATGTAATGAAATTGGGATTTATATAGTGTTCTGTGGATTTATATGGTGTTCTGGGTGTTAACATGGTGCTCTAAGAATTAATATCATATTCTGGGGATTAACAAAAAGTTCTGGGATTAATACAATTCTCTTGGATTAATACAATCATGAGAATTAAATGTGATGGAGTTGTTATAGTAGACGGGGAAGTAGTGGACTTAAGGATTAACGGGTCTATACACAATGTACGAGGCAGTTCACCGTCCAGTTGGTGACCAGAACCAGCGTACTTACCCTCACAGAGCACGTGGACCAGGGAGGTACACCCACGGTATAATGGAGATTATATTAAAATGTACATTATAGTAGACTGAGGGAATAATAAGCATTATTAATCATTATACTCAAGAATTATAATGCATTGACGTAATTATATATATGTAGACAATGAGAGAGAATGGCTGTTGGAGGCCAGACGCTTAGGGCAAGTCTCGCCCAACTTTGCAGGGAGAATGGTCTAGGGTTCGGGATGAACATAGGCTGATTGGGGGTAGCCAGAATGGAAAAGGGAACAGCGTGCCAGAGTCACATTCATACCCCCACGACGAATTTTAATAATAATAATAATAATAATAATAATAATAATAATAATAATAATAATAATAATAATAATAATAATAATAATAATTGTTATTTGCAAGAAGGTACAATGGGTTAGTGAGATTACATAAGACTGGTATTTCTACATTAATACAAAGCCATATCATTTCGAGCAGGTCCTTAATCTGACATATCAGGTAAGATGAAAAAGTACATTTTAGCAAGGTTTTACATCAACAAATGCCTACAATGTAAGTTGACAGAGGTCATTACACTGGTAAGTATATATGTCTTAAGTACTAATATTGGGGAAGTGGGCAGTACAAGAAAGTGTTCGAGTTTGAAGCACAAGATAAGGAAATTTCTGGCGGTGCCCGCCGGCTAACCTTGTAAATATTTTGAAAACAAAAAACTTAACATCATAAATTTTTCTTATAATAATATGCAATATTATTCACTGATGGCAGGAAAGTAAGTAAGTAATTATGAAAGAAGGCACCAAGCCGGAAAGGCTATGTAGCAGCAGCAAATGTGCAAAATAATCAGAGGGCGCTAAATATTACTGAGGATGCCAATAAGAGAACAGAAACGCATAAGGCGAATGATATCAAAAGTATCCAATTCCCCAAGAATTCTATCTTGGTGAATCCAAGTTGTGCTACCCAAGTTGGGTAGCACAACTACCCAAGTTGGGTAGCACAACTACCCAAGTTGGGTAGCACAACTACCCAAGTTGGGTAGCACTGTTGTACGGGTGAGAGAGAGTGCGCCTCCTCAACCACCCGGGCGTCAAAACAGAAGAGGGAGCCGGTCGGCCGAGCGGACAGCACACTGTACTTGTGATCCTGTGGTCCCGGGTTCGATCCCGGGCGCCGGCGAGAAACAATGGGCAGAGTTTCTTTCACCCTATGCCCCTGTTACCTAGCAGTAAAATAGGTACCTGGGTGTTAGTCAGCTGTCACAGACTGCTTCCTGGGGGTGGAGGCCTGGTCGAGGACCGGGCCGCGGGGACACTTAAAGCCCCGAAATCATCTCAAGATAACCTCAAGAAGATGTTCAAAAGAATAATCAACACTGGCAAAAGGTCGGCGGGAAATAACAATTAGAAAGAAGAAGGGGGGGGGGAGAGTAAAAATGAAACATAAGGAAACGGAAAAGATATCCATCAGAATTCTAGAAGACAGCAGCAGGAGCAAAAGGCTACAAAAGGACAGAGGACTGTCCTGTTGAGCATCACACTATGTCAGCCGCCCACTAAGACGACAACGGGCGGGAAATGGAGGGAGGGGGGGGGGACAATATTATTAATAGCACCAAGAGCATATACTATTAATTCTTTATAATTAAAATAAAATATACAACAAATAAAATGGTTCCCCAATGGCTTTTTTCTGAGGGAGAATCGTCTGTTTTAATGCTGCTAGAAGTAAAGTATGATAACTACAAAAGTTTCGTTCACGTTCCAGAGACCAGTGAATAATGTTTCCTATTATTGCAAGAAAATTTTTGTTGTTGTCAAAATATTTAGCCTTTAATTTTGTCAACCCTGACCAGACCATGTTAGGCATGTCCCCCCATAGTAATCAAGGTGCAAAGTTGAGTGAGACTAGCTCCAAGCATTTGGCCTACAACCTCGGATAGAGAGATAACCATATCCATTTGTAGATATAAATATATGTAAACTTATCTAAATATATATCAATATACACGTATATGAACATATAAATATTTTACAGATATAGTAACAATATGCATTTTAGTGTGCGTGTAATACATTTGTGTGGAAATTGATACATAATACCAGATGGAACAAAAGCATGAGGCAAACTAACAAGGGAAGAGTTAGTTTGTTAGTTTGTTTGCTGGTCCTGACAACTCATTACCTCCACTAATTTGATAACGTTTTATCATTTCTGTTTCTGAGTAAATATCATGCTAATAGGACGACATTTCCAGGATCAAGGGAAGAAAAAATATAATTTCATAAATACTCCCAAACCTGACTAAGCTTGGTAAACGTGACCAAGATTGACTAAATCTGAAAGAGGCGGGGAGATATAACTTCCTTACCTGACAGGGAATTTATGAACAAGTTGGGTTACTGGTTTCTCATTTGGTCACTGTAAAAGCTGAGAGTTAGGGACAAACGCCGGAGGCGCTGAAGAAAGCCCTTGCGGTACTCCGCGCTAACCACAACATACACTATCGGGTCCAGGCAGAACTGGAGCCAGTGTAGAGTGTGCACGAGGAGCCAGGTGTCTAGACAATCACAGTTGACTATGTGGATGATGGTGTGTGGCAAACTGCACACAGCTAAGAAGATAAAGATGATGAAGACGCTCCTGGAGGCTTCTTCTTCCCATCTGCGACAGGATCCCACAGTCTCAGCTGTGGCGGGCTTGCTTGCTGAGAGAGTCCCCTCGCCTGATGCAGTCCCCTCGCCTGAGACAGTCCCCTCGCCTGAGGCAGTCCCCTCGCCTGAGACAGTCCCCTCGCCTGAGACAGTCCCCTCGCCTGAGGCAGTCCCCTCGCCTGAGGCAGTCCCCTCGCCTGAGACAGTCCCCTCGTCTGAGACAGTCCCCTCGCCTGAGGCAGACGTCATGTTCTCTTCTCTAGTCTGCAGTGCAACTATGCCTGCCCTTCTCTGGTGCAGCTGATAATACATCAAAATACGCTGCATTAACCTAACACATTATAAAGATGTATAGAGGTATTTGCATATGAATTAAATTTCCTCCAGTACAGGCATTGTAAATACAGATTCAGATGGATATGAGAAGATTACCTTCTGGGTGATGGTGAGACCCAGTAGAGATCATGTAAAGGTAATTTAGTGTAAGAGATAGTGCCAAGTAAATAATTATCAAAAGAAAGCACTAAGGCGGGAAGGCTATGTATCACCAAGTGTGTGGAATAATCATAGGGCACTAAATATCACCAAGGATGCCAATATGAGAACAGAAACGCATGAGGCGAACGATATCAAAGGTATCAGATTCACCAAGAATTCTATCGAGGGACAGTTGACTGCGAGGGACGATCGGGAAGCAAGACACGTTCATCCTGGAAATCAGGACATTCAACTCTTATGCAAGACTGTAAGAGGGACAATGCAGTTTTGACAATAAGGAGCAGAGCTCCATTAAGTGCTTGTGAGTTAAACGTGTATGGCCAATATGTTACCTCGCCAGAACCGTTTCCCACCACTGGTTACTGTGGTGGGAGGAAGACCATGGGGATACACTACTCTAAAGAGCATGCAGTTTGATACTAGTAACAGCAGACGAACATCCCTGCCAATGAGCAAGAATGGAGGAATGAATAACTGGGTAAGTCAGAATAAGGAATACCTTTACGGTAGACGGGACAAGTGCGGATAGCTTCCTTAGCGGCAGCGTCCACACGCTCATTTAAGGACACGCCAATATGGCTGGGAATCCAGAAAAACTTCACTGTCATAAATCTACTGGAGATAAGAAACAGCCATTGTTGAATCTCGACTACCACTGGATGGACTGGATTAAAAGACTCCAAAGCCATGAGGGCACTGCAAGAGTTAACTACAACAACAAAGGAGGATTGACAGCGAGAAAGCAGTTGATGAGGAGCATAGAGAATTGCTTAAAGTTCTGCCGTGAAGATGGTAGTCTCTGGAGGCAGGCGATACATGTAGGTGTGGTCAGGAAAAACAAGAGAGTTGCCTACACCGTCTGCAGACTTAGACCCATCGGTGAAGACGGAAATGGAGCTGGAGTGTAAAGAAAAGTGTTCAAGGAAAAGACGTTTCAGAACTGTCGGGGTAAAAGCTTCAGTCACATGGGTCAAGGTTTTACAAAATTTAGGAAGGGTGACCCTCCACGGGGGGCAAGGATGGAACGACACAAGGAGAAATATTGGTAACAACCGAAAGAGGCGAGACTGCTGGCGAGACAACCGTACAGAAAGAGGGAGGTGGTGAAGGGGAACCGGGACCACAGGAAGGGCAAAAGTCAAAGCACGACAGAGGCGAGAATGAGGGTGTTGTAAGGACCGCACAAGGAAGCGAAGACAGTAGCAATCACGGCGGTCCTGGAGAGACAGGATGCTGGTTTCAACATACAGGCTTAGTGTAAGAGTCGAACGAAGGGACCAGAGCTGAGGCGTAACCCATTATGGTGCAGAGCATCAAGATGGCGAAGAGTAGAAGGAGAAGCAGACAAGTCCGCAGGGCAACTATATAATCCAGCTTAGACAGTATGAGAGAGGAATGTAAAGAGAGGAGCATGCGCCTATCCGCTCCCCAAGAAGTATGGGACAAGACCTCAAGTAGGTTCAGGGCCTTAGAGCATTCAACTCAGAGGTAAGAGACATGGGGCGACCAAGACAAAAGAGTGTCAAAGATTAACCCCAAAAGCTTAGTGGAATCTCTGTCTTCAAGGGGAATGACCATAAAGCAACAAAGAGGGACGAAGAACGACCTGCTTCCGTGTAAAAGTCATAGCACAAGTGTTAGTTGTAGAGAACTAGACGCCGTAATTGGTGACGACACTCCTCCGACACTCGGGGAGGATTTACTGGGCATCAATCCTTAACTGTAGCCTCTGTTTAACTCAACAGTAAAATGGGTACCTGGTTGTAAAATTGATTCTTCGTGAGGGTCGTATTCCAGGGAACACAGGATTAAGGATTTGCTCGAAATGCTACGCATACTAGTGGCTGTATAAAAATGTAGAAACTCTTGTATATATATATATATATATATATATATATATATATATATATATATATATATATATATATATATATATATATATATATATATATATATATATATATATAAATAGAGCACTGAGAAGATGCCAGAGGAAAGGGAAGAAAGAAGACCATAGAGGGCAACAAGGAAAAGAGAACACTACCCTGGGGTACGTCTTCGTATTGCCAAAAAGAGACAGAGAGAGCAGCATCAAGCCTCACTCTAAAGGGACGACTATCTTGAGGTTATCTTGAGATGATTTCGGGGCTTAGCGTCCTAGCGGCCCGGTCCTCGACCAGGCCTCCTTTTTGTTACACACCCCCAGGAAGCGGCCCATTGCAACTGTCTAACTCCCAGCTACCCACTTACTGCTAGGTAATAGGGGCATCAGGGTGAAAGAAACTTTTTGCCCATTTATCTCTGCCTCCACCGGGGATCGAACCCGGAATCTCAGAACTACGAACCCAAAGCGCTGTATACTCAGCTGTCAGGCGCCCAGTCAGGCGACTAGAGCTTTGTAGGAAGAGAGGGAGATTACCACGAAGGCCAAAAGAACGGAGTTGGGACAAGATGTGATATCTCCGGGTGGTGTAGTATGCCTTTTCCAAGTCAAAAAGGACAGCATTAATGGAGGTCTTCGCAGCAAGAGCAGTACGAATATATACCTCCAAGTTCACCAAGACATCAGTTCTGCTGCGGTACTTGTGAAAGCTAAATAGAGAAGGGAAGAGGTGGTGATAGTGTTCCATGAACCACATCAGACGGACATTGACCATACGTTCAAAGAGTTTGCAAATGCAACTCGTGAGGACAATGGGGCAGAAGTCCTTAGGTGATGTTCCTGGTTTCCGAATAGGAAGAACTACCACCTCGAGCCAGTCCTTAGGGACTGACGATGACTCCCAGATACAGATTTAGTAAATACAGAGATGCGCATGGAGGGAGATGGCGAAGCATCTGACAATGAATGTCATCTGAGCCCACTGCTGAGCAGAGGGCCAGGGTGGACTGAAGTTCGGAGAGAGAGAAGAGATTGTTATAGGGAAGCTCAAGATGAGTGTGAAAGTCTAGGGGATAAGATTCAAGAATGGGCTTATGATTAAGGAAAGACAGAGGAAGATGAGAACCGGAGCTAACAGTCGAAAAGTGGGAACGTAGTTCGGTCGCGACCGCCACCGGATCCGCCACAATAGTACCACGGAGGTGAAGGACTGGCGAGACATCTGGAACAAATGTCTTACCCACTATCTTGCAAATTTTCTTCCAGATCTGGGGCAGAGGAGTATCGCAGGTAATCGTGGAGACACATGATTTCCAACTCTTACGTTTAGCTGTACAGATTGTCCTACGGGCCACCGCACTCGCCTTCCGAAATAAAATAAAAGAAGCGGCCGTCTGTCGGCATCGGTGTTTATTTCAGGCTGCCCACTTACAGTGGAGAGCTCGAGCACAGTCATCTGCATTCCACCAGGGAACACACTTCAGCGGGCCCCGGGAGGGTGAGTGATGAATATGATATCATGAAATAATAGGAGGGCTCGAGGGAGAGGCAGAGAGGAGAGGTCGGAGAGAGTAGCATGTAGGGTGAATAGGTTCCAGTCACCCTTGGCAAACTGCCACCTAGGAAAGGAGAGGGGAGGGTGAAAAGAGAAAAAGGTGACAAGGGTGGAAAAATGGTCACTGTTTATGGATGTCATCAAGAACCCGCCACCGGAAATCTAAGTAAAGAGACGACGAGCAGAGAGAGAGATCAAGACAGGAGTGGATGTGAGTGCGGGAGTCCACATGAGTGGGTTCACCAGAATTCAGAAGAGACAAGGAAGAAGAGAGGACAAATGGTTCAAGAAGGTGGCCTCGGGTGTTTGTCAGAACATCACCCCAGAGGGTATGCCGACAGTTGAAATCACCCAACAGAAGCACAGGCTCTGGAAAGGAGTCCAACATGTGCTTAAGATCTGGAAGAGAAAGTGGGACATTTGGGGGGAGATAAATGGAACAGATTGTATACCATTTACTCATAAAGACACGGGCTGCAGAGCATTTGATAGGCGACTGAAAAACTAGGGAGACGAAGGGAATATCAGTACGAATTAAGAGAGCAGTAGAATTATGGGCCCCAGCAAAAGCTGGGGGGGGGGGGGGGGATGGAGAGAAAGGAATAACCACGAAAATGACCAGGACGAGCACCAAGCATCGACTCCTGGGGACATACACAAAGTGGTGAAAACTGTGTTATCAGAAGTTGGAGTTCATGGAAGTTGGCATAAAACCCACAAATATTCCATTGAAGAATAGACATTGTCAAAAGGAGAAAGAAAAGCAACAGAGAACAACGAAGAAATAAAGGCAAAGAAGAACACAGCATACTAAGATCAGGGTCAGTGAAATCAGGGGAAGGGGGGGGGGATGGGTAAATTTAGCAAGAACGATGGAGTTAAGGAAGCGAGGACGGACCAGAGGCAGATAGACAGGGTCTGGAGCAGGAGGAGACAATGGAGAGGAGCAATCAAGGGAAGGAGGGGGAGAGGGGGAGAGAAACAGGGGAGTGCACCTCAGAAAGGGCAGCAACCGAGAGAGAATCGAGGGCTAAAGAAATCTTCAATGCTGGGACAGGAGGCCCGACCACCGAAATGGGGGTGGACGCAGGGATAGAGTCGGAGGGGGAGGGTGTGGAAGAAAGCGATGTCTTCTTAAGCCGGGCAATGAGCCATGCTTACGTTTCTGACGTAAAGAGACAGGTGTGCCAGCAACAACGTACTGGGCAACAGTCTCTATTGTCTCAACAGAAGGAGAATGGGAGCGAACAACATGAAGATTGCTATAAGGATGATGGACAATAGCCTGGACAGACAGGGTGGCATGGAGGGCCAAGAGACAGGGGGGAAGAAGGGAAAAGACTTGGACAAAAAAGACACAGGAGACTTGGCAGACTGGGAAGGAAGGAGGTAAAGATCAGAGGAACAAGCAGGAGAAGGACCCCTTGATTTAGAAGGTAAAGGAACAGGGGAGGAGGTGGTGGGCATGTCCGGATCTAAGGCCTGGACACGGTTGTAAGACTGATAAAGGAGGGAAGGGCGAGGAAAGGTGAAACGCAACACACGAGCATAACATATGCTAGCGAAAGAGGAGAGACCACAGTTACAGCCCCGCTCCTGTGCCAGGTAAGTTCACCACGGGCTCACCATAGCCCGTGCTACTTAGAACTGTTTGTTCCCAGTAGCTGAATCTAAAACAACAACAACAGAGGAGAGACGGCAGACTTGGCGTTTCGCCTCAGGAAAGAAACGATCGCAGTCCTTCAAATTAAGGATGGCTTCCTCAAATTTGTAGTGTATACCTGCGCGGGAGAAGGAAGGGTGGGTGTCACGGCAACTGAGGCAGTGAGCCTGGGAAAATGAGCACTCCATCTTAGAGTGACTCGAGTCCCCACACATGGAGCATAGAGACACCGCACTTGTGTATTTAAGGGCACCATGCCCAAATTTCCAGCACATATTGCAAAGTTTAGGAGAGGGAATGTACTCCTGAACAGAGCATCTGGCACCAGCAAGAATTATAGAAGGTGGAAGTGTCCTGCCATCAAAAGTGATCTTCACAACTCTAAGAGGCTGATGACGATGACCACGAAGGTGGGGGGGGGGGGGTTAAGTGAACGTATCAACCTGGAGGACAGAATGACCTTGGGCTTCAAGGATATGTTTTATGCCTCGTGACAATCTTTCAGGCCCCTAACACAAGTCGCAACATCGTACGGGAGAGTAACAATGCCAATACTGGCATTTAACCAGGCATTTGTGGAGGCCCTAACAGGGGGTCTCCCCAATGCTGGATAATGCGGCTAAGCAGCAAGCTGCATCCTGAGAAGGAACAGCAACGACAAGTGTATCAAAATGGGTGGGGTTAAAAGTAACAGAGGCATCCACCGAATCAACGAGGTGTTTATGGAGGAAGAAATCGTCAGGAAGTGTAAAATCCAGATGGTTGAGATCAAAGAATTTAGTCCATGTAGCGGGACCAAACAAGGCACTGAACGTATTAGCACTGGAAGGAATCGTGGGATTGCATCTTTGGGGGGGGGGGGAGGGGGTGGGAGGAGCCGAGAACCCCCAGAGAGAGAGGGGGGGGGGTAAAAGGCGCAGTAGTCATAATGAGAGAAGTAGCCGCTCCAGGTGATGAAGTGGTCACCACTGGGGGCTTGGGGCACAACCCTACCACAGAGGAGGGAGGGGAGTGGAGGGGGTTAATCAGGAGGGTCAAAGGAGTAGCCTGGTCTGGGCCCAATGTAGCGGGGGCTACAGAGCCCGGTCTTCCAACACAGTCCGACTTGGGGGCCTGGTCACCCACCCTACGAGCCTGGGAAGTTATTAGATCATTCAGTGGCATAGAAATGAATAGGTAATAATTTCATTCACGAATAAGCCCTCATACCCACCATGGAGTCACAATTAGAGGATAGTTCACCTGACAAGACAGGGCCCCACAGGGGTGCAGTGTTAGCATATGCCTCGCAATCGCCACCTTAAGAACTGTCAGTCCATCAAGATTGGGCTCAGTAACGAAGGAGAGGACTGACAATAAAAGCGTCCCCTCGCTTGCAACCTCGGCTACCACAATTCTACGGATGAGAGAGTGTGCCTCCCCGAACACCCGGGCGTCAAAACAGAAGACGTCCGACAGAATAATCAAGAATGACAAAAGGTCGTCGGGAAAGACATTCAGAAAGGAGAAGAGGGGGGAGGAAAAAATAACATAAGGAACAGGAAAAAGCCATCCAGCGCACTTTGTGAAGATGACAGAAGGAGCACAAGGCTTCAAAAAGGTAAAGGACTGTCCCATGGAGCATCACACCCCGGCAGGCGCCCACCAAGCTCCCTCACGATGACAACAGGCTGGAAAAGGAGGGAAAGGGGGGGGGGGGGAAGATAGGCGAATGGGTATCTATCTTGGCACTGCCACTTTGACTCAGTTGTGAAGGCCAAGTACTAGTAGTACCCATCACAAAGCTTCTGTTGCAACAAACCTTCACGTATATGAAGACATAACAGATGATGGTGACAATTAGAGGGGTGAAGTAGGTCACCAAGACGTGGAACTTCCTCAAGGACGCGTTTCGGATCCTAATCGTCACAGTATAAGCTATGAAGTCACAAGAGATGGAAGTCTGTAAAAAACGTACTTGAATCAGTGTGAAAGAGATTTGAAACTACCGTATTAATTATGAAAAACTAAATGACTATTTGATTCGAATAATTATTGAATTTCTAAATACACAAAGATTATTTCATGTACCTCAATATGGCTGACACAAATTAAATAGGATTTTAATAATTATATCTTTTTTTCTCATAATGTATTTCCTGATGTTGTATATGAGTATGCATACATATATTGCATGTGTATCAGTATTTTAATTATGTACGATTTGTACGATTATGATTTGCAAGCGTGAATATATATATGTCGTGATTACAACACATATATTACATACCCATTACAACATTCACACATACGCGTGTATGCTTGTGTGTTTACATTGAGGCAAGAAAACATACCAGAGGGAGCCAGAGGATGGCTGAGGAGATCCAGATCAGCACCAGCTGCAGAGCCACTACAGATGACCTCAGCATCCTCCTGAAGACCACTGGGGACCTCAGCGCCACGACCCTGCACAACCACAACAGTATCCACAACCAAATTGATCGATTTTAGTCATTATGCATGTCATACCCATCCCGTGAGTGGTGGTGGACCCCATACCCATCCCATGAGTGGTGGTGGACCCCGTACCCATCCCATGAGTGGTGGTGGACCCCATACCCATCCCATGAGTGGTGGTGGACCCCATACCCATCCCATGAGTGGTGGTGGACCCCATACCCATCCCGTGGGAGGTAGCGGACCCCCATACCCATCCCGTGGGTGGTAGCGGACCCCATACCCATCCCGTGGGTGGTGGTGGACCCCATACCCATCCCGTGGGTGGTGGTGGACCCCATACCCATCCCATGAGTGGTGGTGGACCCCGTACCCATCCCGTGGGCGGTGATGGACCCCATACCCATCCTGTGAGTGGTGGTGGTGGACCCCATACCCATCCCATGAGTGGTGGTGGACCCCATACCCATCCCGTGGGTGGTGGTGGACCCCCCTAACCATCCTGTGGGCAGAGGTGGAAACGGTTACAGAGGCACATTTTGGGCTTAGGAAATGAACCCCCAAATTCATTGAAATTTCCAATTTCATCGAAGAACCTCAAAATTCACAACTTGCAATGTACCTCAGCGTATCCAGCACTTATCCCGCTAGACCACACTGACTGTTCAAAAGAATCGAAAGTCGTTAGACCTTTAACCAAATCTCCGACAGCACTTGGTGGTCAATTTTGAGGACAGATATTTCATCGAATCACCTCGCATGTTGGGGTCACGTGAGCAATACAAATGTGAACAAGCTTCAATGGTCCCCAAGCCAATATGCAACCGAAAATTTGGGTTAAGGATCTGACGACTTCCAATTCTTTTGTAAAGTCGGTGTGGTCTAACCCGCAGTGTGGTCAGTGGGTTAAGTACTTGATATGCTTAGGTGCATGGAGCCATGGCTGTCTGAGTTCGAATCCTTCAGGGGTGAGGAGTTTTCGGGTTCATTCTGACTATCATTATTTTATTATATATGTCTAGTTTCAGACAAGTACATCACAGTTTTGCCCTGAGAGCTGAATACAATCAAACATAACAAGGAGTTACAATTAACGTATAATCTCCATAAACAAATAATATTACCAGTGTACATTAAAGTCAACCATTAAGTTTACGATTAATCATATATGTGAATAAAGAAGGTATTAATTTAAGTATACGAGTACCTGTAAGGAAGTAAAAAAGTCCACTACGGGATCACCATAGCCCATGCTACTTGGAACTTTTTGTTCCAAGGAGCGAATCTTAAACAACAACAACAACAACATGTAAGAAAGTGTAAAAACAACCACAATAGTTACTCCCAGAACAGTACCTGTTAAGAGCCATGATACAGATGCTCTGAATGTGGACCTGATGGAGTATGACCTGGAACATGTAGACGACCCACATGGTACTGCGTGTGAGGCTCCCACCGTGCACGCGACCTTCCATGATCTTAGCGACCATCAAGGGTAAGGTGTAGCAACATATAGGGATGAGGCAGAGCGCCAGGTTAACCATGAAGGCCGTGTTGTGGTTGCTGCGGAGCTTCTTGGAGCTCAACATCACCACCATCACCATCACATTCCCTGAAGAGAATACTTCGTGTCAGCGAGTCGCTACCAATGCCTTTATTATGGGCCTTGCAGATCAGGGATGAGATTATAAGTGTATACAATAAAATCGCAATAACGTGATATGCATGTCAGAAAATCTCAGGGGGGTAGGACGAGGCTCGAACAAGTGTTGTAGGTTAAGGCGCGCGTCTAGGAGTACCCAGGGAGCAAGTTCGATCCTCGTCCTGATCCAAAGGTTTGTTCCCGAGATTTGAACTACCTTACCACCGTTCTCACCGAAAGTTCCTATAAGACACGTGAAGACGTTGCAAATAGAAGTCAGGACGACGACCTCGGACGAGTACTGATGGGATGCTCCTGTAGATGCATTAGTTTTCTCCTCCATCCTTTCTTAACCACTTCTTTATCCTCTTTCTTGCGGCTTCTTCTCGCGTTGTTGTTGTTTTAGATCCAGCTCCTCGGAACAAAACCTTCCGAGTAGCACGGGCTATGGTGAGCCCGGAGTGGACTTACTTGGCACAAGAGTGGGGCTGTAACTACTACTTCTCACAACTGAGAAGGGTTGAATATTAGCTTGGCGGGGCGCTGGTAAACACCGTCCCCAGCCCGCCATCACTACGCAGGCGCCAACAACTGGCCTAACCCTGATAACGCCATTTCCGCAATTATAAATATATCATACTTTCACTGTACACAAATTCATATAACTGAAAACTCACATTGTATGTGGACATTTTATTGCATTTTAGTCACATAAGATGTATATATTTTGCAAACTCTGAAGACATATTAAGTGCTGCTATTATCAACAACATTAATACTAACAACAACAATAATTTCGTTATGAATAATAATAATAATAATAATAATAATAATAATAATAATAATAATAATAATAATAATAATAATTTATTATTATTATTATTATTATTATTATTATTATTATAAGACACATTTAGTGTAATTCGTGTAATACATTCGTGTGGAAATGGATACATAATACCAGATGAACCAAAAGCATGAGGCACACAAACAAGGGGAGAGGCCCATTAGCAGCAGCAGTTGCGGACCACTTCATTATCTCCACTAATTTGATAACGTTTTATCATAAGGATAAGGCTAGTATAAATAAGATCAAATCTGATCTATCCTGACCAAACCTGACCTGCCTTTGGTAAGCCTGACTAAGCCTGACCTGCCTTTGGTAACCTTGACTGAGCCTGACCTGCCTTTGGTAACCTTGACTGAGCCTGACCTGCCTTTGGTAACCTTGACTGAGCCTGACCTGCCTTTGGTAACCTTGACTGAGCCTGACCTGCCTTTGGTAACCTTGACTGAGCCTGACCTGCCTTTGGTAACCTTGACTGAGCCTGACCTGCCTTTGGTAACCTTGACTGAGCCTGACCTGCCTTTGGTAACCTTGACTGAGCCTGACCTGCCTTTGGTAACCTTGACTGAGCCTGACCTGCCTTTGGTAACCTTGACTGAGCCTGACCTGCCTTTGGTAAGCTTAACCAAGCTTGACCTTGTCTTTTCCAAGCTTGATCAAACATACAGAACCAGAGATAGATATGGGGTGCCGAGCATCCAATACAGTGTATATATCTTTCACCCAACTCTCATACAATACACACAGACTCACAACACTCAAACATAGATCCTCAACCAGACATAAAATTCTCATTTGCTCACTGAATAGACACACATCATAAATCCAACAGAACCCAGTCAAAGCCTTGTAAAAATGCACATATTCGCTCAATTAAAAAGCAAACATCCAGCTTACAATCAAATTTCACACATAAATGGGAAAATCAATCACTCATTACACGGGTATGACATATGCTGCACACACACACACACACACACACACACACACACACACACACACACACACACACACACACACACACACACACACACACACACACAATCACTCGTTACAGAGAGCCACGATTGATATCACCTCAAACAAACCTCCACAAACACTCAATAATCAGAGGCAGCCAAAAATATTTTCCTCATAGGTTTATTTAAGCACTTCAGACTAACTTATTGTTAACTACAACATTTCAACCTAAAATGCTTAAGACACATCTCAAGCAAGTAAAGATCATATATATTATGACATTTTCTAAGTGATTACATATATATATATAATATTTACTTTATTTGAACTTTGTTACAAAAAAGGAGTTACATATGGGTTACAAAGATGGTTGTCATAGGTTGTCGAGTTCCTCCAGCTCCTCAGATGGCGGGCAGGAACCCTGGATGCAGTGCGCATTTCCCCTCTGTATCGCCACACTGAGGCGCTGGAAAAGAAAGCTTGCAGCTCTCGGGTCCCTTGTTGTTTCGATGAGCCTAGAACCCAGTTCCTTCAAAAAACTGGTAGCACTTTTACCCCAGGCGCCGAGCGTCTCAGAAGCAATGGGGACAAAATTGTAGTGGTGATCCAGTTCTCTATACTTACGGGATTTGGCTGCTTCCCTGTGGGTGGCAGCGCCACCTGGTTGTGCAACACTGAGGTTAATGTAGGTGTTAGCCAGGGTTGATACGCACGTGTAGTCCCATACCAACTGCTTGCCATTCTTCCAGGGGTTCACTGTGATACCATCCGGGCGACCAATAAGAGCATCAGAGTTACGGGGCGTTAGGTAACGGGGCTCTCTTTCAGCTGGGCATCCAGCTGTGGTGAGGCTCCTCTTGATGATGTCGTTAACTTCACTGTGCCTCGAGTGCCATCCCCCTGTGCTTTGGCAGAGTAGGCCATGGTGACCGTACCTGTCAGCCACCACCTCGCCGCAAATACACCTATATCTGGTGTGGATTGGGGCAGCAAGGCGGAGGGCCACAGCAATTCGGAGGGCGTGTGGTGTGAGACGCGTGCCAGTTGCCGACATTGGGGTTGCTAACAGGAAATCCCCTGCATGTGGTGCTGCTACTGCTGTGAGGCGAGCAATGTCGTGTTGTGTTGTTGCAGCACCCAGGCACTCTGCAGCAACTTGGTCTACAATGGGACCATCCCAGCTGGATTGCTTGTGGGATTTTGGGGATGGTGGTCGAGGTGATTGGCCTGCACGAGAGGCCCACTCTGTGGCACAGCGTGTAAAATTGGGATCATGTACACCTGCCAGCTGATGTAAGTGGGCAGGTAGAATTTCCTTCACAAGGTCGTCGGATGCTGATAAGGAGGACAGGAAGGCTGGAACAGCGATTTGCGTTGCTGTTCGAACTCCGAGGCCCCCAAGTCTTACGGGAAGAGAGGCTTGTTTCCACTGTAGGTCATCGAGAGAGAGGTTAAGGGCTTTTTCTAGCATTGATTTCAGTAACCGGTCATACTCACTTAGTTTTTGGCTACTGTAAGATGGTGAACACCTCAGAAAGTAGGTTAACCTGGGGAGGGACAGACATCTGGTGATGAGGTAGAGTGCATCATGAGCATCAATATCCTCAATCCTCCCATCCATCCTCTTAAGGTCGGCGATTTTCTTATCAAGGACTTCATCGATGGCTTTCAACCCCAGGGGAGCTCCTAGGAGTGTGCTGTCTTCAGGTTTAGTTTTATGGATATTTGGCAGAAGACCCTCTATTCTCTCTACGATGCCCTGGTTGGAACATATTATTTCACATTTAGAAGGGTTCAGGGTGAGGCCTAACACTGCACCTTGCTCCTGGATTTTTCTGATGTCCTCCAGGAGGGAGTCTTGGGAACCAGCTAGGGTACCATCATCCAAGAACCAGATGTTAAGCTCGCTGGACAGGACCTCTGTGACTTGTTTGATGACTAAGCAGAAAAGGAGAGGAGCGAGGGGGTCACCCTGTTGGACGCCTTCTCGCGAGTCAATTTCATGTTCGCCAAAAAGTAGCTTAAGATCCATACTGTAGCATGAATGTACAAAAGGGTAGAGGGACGGGAAATGACTATGAACCGCACGGAGTACAGCATCCCTCCGCACCAAATTGAAGGCATTTTTGAAATCTAGCTTGATAAGGGCCTTTTCGTCTGTGATGTTGGCGATGAAGGCTCGAGCTGCATGGGCTGCCGCCTCACACCCTTGTGGAATGCCAAACCCGAGCTGTTTTGGCTTCAGCATGTTGGCCGCTGCATCACTAACTGTTCTTGCAGCTGCCTTTGCGACGAGACGCCGGAGAGAATTGCCCACAGCTATTGGCCTGATCCCTCCATCCTTTTTCTTTAGAGCACAGAGAGATGCTCCAAAAAAGATAGGTCTTATGGACGATGGTATGTTGCCAGCTAGACATGTGTTGGTGAATCTGGTTAGTTCCACCAAGAGGTTCTTTGCAATGTCACCCAGTGCAGGGTTGAGCATTTGCTTGAGGTGGTTGGGTTTTAGTCATGTGAACCCACCTGCTGATCCTGTAAGGAAGGACATGGCTGCTTTATGGACCACAGATTCAGCCACCCAGAGAGGTTCTGCTCCGGTAGCCCCCACTTGTACAATGTCGTCCTCACGCGGAGCCCTGGGTGGGTGTTTCTCCCTTAGGGCTTGAGCTGTTGCGGCATCTCTGTCGGCAATTGAGTCCTCACTGGTGATGACTCTTATATGAATATATATATATATATATATATAATATATATATATATATATATATATATATATATATATATATATATATATATATATATATATATATATATTATTAAATATGACCGAAAAAGTAAGATTAATAATTCTAACACGAATTTTCTCAATCTTTCGTACATTACGCTTCACTGTTGGAGGTAAATCAAAAATCACTTCTCCAAAATTCATTTTTATTTCTAGTCTGACGCGACACGGGCGCGTTTCGTAAAACTTATTACATTTTCAAAGACTTCACAAATACACAACTGATTAGAACTTACGTATCTCTGCTATTATATCTACATTTGAGTGAGGTGGGAGGGATGATGTGGCATATAGTGATGTGGCATTAACACAAGACAGAACATGAGGGGATATTAATAGGGTATTAAAAGTATCAACACAAGACAGAACAGAAACAATGGGTATTGAATAGAAGTGTTTGTAGAAAGCCTATTGGTCCATATTTCTTGATGCTTCTATATTGGAGCGGAGTCTTGAGGTGGGTAGAATATAGTTGTGCAATAATTGGCTGTTGATTGCTGGTGTTGACTTCTTGATGTGTAGTGCCTCGCAAACGTCAGGCGGCATAGCAGGCGGCTTGACGTTTGCGAGGCACTACACATCAAGAAGTCAACACCAGCAATCAACAGCCAATTATTGCACAACTATATTCTACCCACCTCAAGACTCCGCTCCAATATAGAAGCATCAAGAAATATGGACCAATAGGCTTTCTACAAACACTTCTATTCAATACCCATTGTTTCTGTTCTGTCTTGTGTTGATACTTTTAATACCCTATTAATATCCCCTCATGTTCTGTTTCATATTATATTATTCAGGACTCTCAGCATCACCTCTCACACCGGGCAGAATATCTATGAGACACTTGGGTTACTGGTAAACATCATCTGCTCATCTCTGGAGGTGTGAGATCGCCCTAAGCATCTTACAAAGCTCTTGCGGTACTCCGAGCTCACCACAACATACACTATCGGGTCCAGGCAGAACTGGACAAAGAGAAGTGTGTGTATGAGGACCCAGGCCTGTGCACACTCGCAGTCTACCAAGTGGATGATGGTGTGCGGCAAACTGCACACAACTAGGATGATAAAGATGATGAAGATGCTCCTGGAGACTTCTTGCTCCCATTTGGGACGCCCTCCGTCCCTTTCTGCTATTCCATAGCGAACCTGAAGATGTTTAGAAAGCTTTGTGTATATATTTGTGTATAGAAATTATATATATATATATATATATATATATATATATATATATATATATATATATATATATATATATATATATATATATATATATATATATATATATATATACACACTGAAGAGGAGGGGGGAGGGGACCTACATTCCCTCCAATGCGTTATGTGTGGTTTCCTCCGAGGCTATGAGTCCCCCTTCTTCCAGCCTATATATACATATATATGCATATGCAAACAAGCTTGAATGGTCTCGAAGCATATATGCGACTGAAAATTCCACACCCCAGAAGTGACTCGAACCCAGACAGCCAGGAGCACAATGCAACTGGTGTATTTGGTACCTTAACCACTCAACCAACCGTGACCGTACTGTGATGGTCACGGTCAGATTTAGTACAGTCACGGATGGTCGAGTGGTTAAGGTACCAAGTACACCAGTTGCATTGTGCTCCTGGCTGTGTGGGTTCGAGTCACTTCTGGGGGTATGGAGTTTTCACTATATAATATATAATGAAAAATTAACTTAAAAAATAGCATTCGTATTCAATTGAAGTGACATTATATCATTCAACTTCTGACCTTGAAGAAAATGAGGAGATAGCAGATGATGGTGATAGATAAGGGCAGGAAGTAGTTGAGAGCAATGTAGAGCTTCATCAGGCCCAGGCTGTCCATAGCAATTCTCAGCCGATCAAGATCGAATTTATCTCGGATCAAAGTCTGCAAATTTGTTTTGCATTATTGCGAAAAAATGAACTCGATATAGAAAAATATGAGACTATTTCATGCACTATTTCCCTCCTAATTGCTTAGATGGATGAAATGAGAGGTTAGTCATATTATAATGATCAAATCCTCCTCTAAGAAAATCCTATACATTCTTGACATTGTTATACTGATGATAACATATGTTATCTTATTGGAAAATAACAGTGGGATTCACTACTGATGACGTTGAAGCGAAATTACGCAAGTGGGGACAAAATCTTGGGACCCTTCGTGTGACCTAAGGGAACCCTTCGTGTGACCTAAGGAAACCCTTCGTGTGATCTAAGGAAACCCTTCGTGTGATCTAAGGGAACCCTTCGTGTGACCTAAGGGAACCCTTCGTGTGATCTAAGGAAACCCTTCGTGTGATCTAAGGGAAACCTTCGTGTGACCTAAGGGAACCCTTCGTGTGACCTAAGGGAACCCTTCGTGTGATCTAAGGGAAACCTTCGTGTGACCTAAGGGAACCCTTCGTGTGATCTAAGGGAACCCTTCGTGTGACCTAAGGGAACCCTTCGTGTGACCTAGGGGAACCCTTCGTGTGATCTAAGGGAAACCTTCGTGTGACCTAAGGGAATCCTTCGTGTGACCTAAGGGAATCCTTCGTGTGACCTAAGGGAACCCTTCGTGTGATCTAAGGAAACCCTTCGTGTGATCTAAGGGAAACCTTCGTGTGACCTAAGGGAATCCTTCGTGTGACCTAAGGGAATCCTTCGTGTGACCTAAGGGAACCCTTCGTGTGATCTAAGGGAATCCTTCGTGTGATCTAAGGGAATCCTTCGTGTGATCTAAGGGAATCCTTCGTGTGACCTAAGGGAACCCTTCGTGTGACCTAGGGGAACCCTTCGTGTGATCTAAGGCACCCTTCGTGTGACCTAGGGGAACCCTTCGTGTGATCTAAGGAAACCCTTTGTGTGACCTAGGGGAACCCTTCGTGTGATCTAAGGAAACCCTTTGTGTGACCTAAGGGAACCCTTCGTGTGACCTAGGGGAACCCTTCGTGTGATCTAAGGCACCCTTCGTGTGACCTAGGGGAACCCTTCGTGTGATCTAAGGAAACCCTTTGTGTGACCTAGGGGAACCCTTCGTGTGATCTAAGGAAACCCTTTGTGTGACCTAAGGGAACCCTTCGTGTGACCTAAGAGAACCCTTCGTGTGACCTAAGGCACCCTTCGTGTGACCTAGGGGGAACCCTTCGTGTGATATAAGGGAAACCATTCGTATGACCTAAGGAAACCTTTCGTGTGGCCTAAGGGAACCCTTCGTGTTACATAAGGAAATCCTTCGTGTTACCTAAGGAACCCTTCGTGTGACCTAGGGGAACTCTTCGTGTGACCTAGGGGAACCCTTCGTGTTACCTAAGGAACCCTTCGTGTGACCTAGGGGAACTTTTCGTGTGACCTAGGGGAACCCTTCGTGTTACATAAGGAACCCTTCGTGTGACCTAGGGGAACTCTTCGTGTGACCTAGGGGAACCCTTCGTGTTACCTAAGGAACCCTTCGTGTTACCTAAGGAACCCTTCGTGTGACCTAGGGGAACTCTTCGTGTGACCTAGGGGAACCCTTCGTGTAACTTTAGAGATCCTTTGTGTGACCGTAATAATCATGGTGTTAAGATGCATTCACTCCCGATACCCAGGCACGACTAAAGGGTCACGTAGAGGGTATCACCACGAGGATTTAGCATTCCCGACGAGAACGAGTTACGCCGCCACGGTATTGGTATTGTGGTATTGGATGTGTCCAGCTCCAGCATCTGCCTTCATCCATGGCAACGTCCAAGTCCTCTATTTCTGCTTGCTTTGACGCTATTCATTCATGGCAACTCCCAAGTCCTCTATTTTTGCTTGCTTTGACGCTATTCATCCATGACAACGTCCAAGTCCTCTATTTCTGCTTGCTTTGACGCTATTCATCCATGACAACGTCCAAGTCCTCTATTTCTGCTTGCTTTGACGCTATTCATCCATGACAACGTCCAAGTCCTCTATTTCTGCTTGCTTTGACGCTATTCATCCATGACAACGTCCAAGTCCTCTATTTCTGCTTGCTTTGACGCTATTCATCCATGGCAACTCCCAAGTCCTCTAATTCTGCTTGCTTTGACACTATATCATTTCTGGCACTTACCTTGTTCTGCTATCAAGACCTCTTGGAATACACAGAGAGTAATCACACTAACGTGACTGCATCAATGAGAAAATCCGTGACTGCATCAATGAGAAAATCCGTCGAATCATATGTTCATTTCTTCAGATAGTTTCCAGCGTTTATTTAATGTGGTTGTACTCCTGTCTGGGTCTTCTGCCATTTACTACAAGGTTATATATCATTGCTAGTATATTTTCTTGGGTCCTCCAGTTGTTGTGGGGCCCATTGCGTAATGACTGAATCCTTAACAGTCTAAAGTTATCTAATCCTCATATTTCTTCCACGTGCTACTTAGTCGTAATGGCTTAATGCTTTCCTCCGATAATTACATGATCTTTAATCACCAGTTCTTTCTGATCACCAGAGGTAAGATATCTATCAGGGAAAGTGCCAAGGCATTACGGCTATACAGCACTTGGAAGGGGTCAGGATAAGGATTTGGGATAGGATGGGGGAAAGGAATGGTCCAGAGCCACTCGCCTGGTGGACCAAACTTTCACAAGTCAAGTCTGGCCTCGGGCCGGGCTTGGGGAGTAGAAGAACTCCCAGAACCCCATCAACCAGATAACCAGGTATCAACCAGGTATCCTGCCCTTCCTTCCCCCCCATCCTCTTCCTGCCTTTCCTTTCTCTCTCCCCTCGTTCCGCATGATACTTCTGAGGGAATAATGTATCTGTCGGGACTCCCGTTAGTCTAGTTTTGATTTATGTTTTTCAACCCATTTAGTGTGTTGCTCGGGTCTTTGTCGTTTCTCGTCGTTCTTGGCTGTTTTACTCTCAGGTCAGGGAATATGTAAACAATGGTATAGTCATCAAGATTTCTTAGCTTTGCTGCATGTCGAGTTTCTTCTGTGCTCGAGAGTTACAATGGTAATGCGTCCCACGTTTGCCTTAGGCTTACCTAACTTCCCTACCTAGGAAACGCTTAGATCTTCCACTTCGTCTATGAATTACAAGGGAATGTGTGCGTAAAAGTGGGTGTGTTTTGGTTGTGCCAAGCAAGCATACCAGAGGGAGCCAGAGGATGACGGAGAGGACCCAGATCAGCACCAGCTGGAGAGCCACTACAGATGACCTCAGCATCCTCTTGAAGAACACTGGGGACCTCAGCGCCACCACCCTGCACAACCAACACTGTCTTTATTACATAGTCATAGAACCATTTCTGTCCAAGATCCTAGATGAGAGTATATGTATAAAGATATACATTCATACATGCATAAATACATGAATTCATATATACTTTCACGCATAAAGACATCAGAGAGGGAAGAAATAGGTTAGCAATGTAGATCCTTGCGTACTTTACACTCCAGCTGTTTTCATTTATTGACGGACCATACCATCTTTATTTATTGCCACTAAGTATGTCGTTTTCAGGGTCTATTCACAATTTATTATTCAAATTACACACTACATCTATTCTGTATCTGATGGATAGTCAGAATCTTATTCTCTAAGTAATTATCAAAAGAAGGCACCAAGCCGGGAAGGCTATGTAGCACCATCAGATGTGCGGGATAATCAGAGGGCGCTAAATATCACCAAGGATGCCAATATGAGAACAGAAACGCATAAGGTGAACGATATCAAAAGTATCCGATTCACTAAGAATTCTATCGAGGGACAATTGACCGTGGGGGACGGTCGGAAAGCAAGATACACGCTCGTCCTGGAAGTCAGGACATTCAACAAGGATATGCACAACTGTAAGAGGGACAATGCAGTTAGGACAATTAGGAGCAGGGCGGCGCTCCATCAAATGTCCGTGAGTTAAGCGCAAATGGTTAATATGCAACCTTGCCAGAGCCGTTTCTCACTGCCGGTTATGGTGGTAGGAGGAAGGCCACAGGGACACACTGCTCTTAAGAGTACGGAATTTGTTAGCAGTAACAGAAGACCAACAACCCTGCCAACGGGCAAGGATGGAGGAATGAATAACTGGGTAAAAGTCGGAATAAGGAATGCCTTTAATTAAGGCATTTAATTAAGGCATAACTGGCCGACCCCTCACAGTGTTCAAGAGAGAACTGGATAAGCACCTCCAAAGGATACCTGATCAACCAGGCTGTGACTCATACGTCAGAGCAGCCGCGTCCAACAGCCTGGTTGATCAGTCCGGCAACCAGGAGGCCTGGTCGACGACCGGGCCGCGGGGACGCTAAGCCCCGGAAGCACCTCAAGGTAACCTCAAGGTAAGGGAGATGGGACAAGTGCGGATAGCTTCCTTAGCGGCACCGTCCGCACGCTCATTTAAAGACACACCAATATGGCTGGGAACCCAGCAAAATGCAACTTAAATCTACTGGAGATAAGAAACAACCAATGTTGAATCTCGACTACCACCGGATGAACTGGATTTAAGGACTCCAGAGCCATGAGGGCACTGCGAGAGTCAACTACAACAACAAAGGAGGATTGACAGCGGGAAAGCAAAAGCCGAAGAGCATAGAGAATAACATAAAGTTCTGCCGTGAAGATGCTAGTCTCCGGAGGCAGGCAACACATATAGGTGAAGTCAGGACAAACAACAGAGTAGCCTACACCGTCTGCAGACTTAGGCCTAAGCGTGAAGATAGAAATGAAGCGGGAGTGTGAAGAATAATGTTCAAGGGAAAAGGCGTTTCAGAACTGTAGGAGGGGTAAAAGCTTTATACTGTGGATCAAGGATTTACAATATTTGGGAAGGGGGACCCTCCACGGGGGGCAAGGATGGAACAACACGTGGAAAAATATTAGTAATACTAACCGAAAGAGAATGTTGCAGCCGAGACAACTGGACAGAAAGAGGGAGGTGATGAAGGGGAACAGGAACTATAGGAGGGGGAAAGTCAAATCACGACACAGGTGAGAGCGATGGTGTTGTAAGGACAAGGCGTTGTTTGTATTAGTATGGGAAGGGACCGTGCGAATGCGGCCGTGGCAGGGACGGCGTTGAGAACCCCCAGATAGGGAGGGGTTAAAAGGTGCAGTAGTCACAATGAGAGACTGAGCAGTGCCAGGGGACGAGGTGGTCACAACTGGGGGATTGGGGGTCGACCCTACCACAGAGGAGGGAGGGGAGCCGAGGGGAGTAGTCAGGAGGGTCAAAGGAAGAGCTAGGTTTGAGCCCAATGTAGTGGGGGCTACAGAGCCCGGTCTTCCAACACAGTCTGGCTTGACGGCTTGGTCGCCCACCCCACGAGTCTGAGGAGTTATAAAAGGATCTTTATTCAGCGGCATGGAAACGAGGAGGTAATGTTTCATTCACGAATAAGCCCCCGTACCCACCATGGAGCCACAATTAGAGAATAGGACACCCAACAGGAGACAGGCTAGGGCCCCCCGCAGGGGTGCGTTATGAGTATATGCCCCAAAATCGCCACCTTAAAGCGTCCCCTCGCTCGCGACGTTGGGTACCACAGTTCTACGGGTGAGAGAGCATGCCTCCCAAAACACCCGGGCATCACAACAGAAGATGCCCGAAAGAATAATCGACTGGCAAAAGGTCGGCGGGAAATGACAATTAGCAAGAAGAAGAGGGGGAGAAAGATGAAACATAAGGAAAAGAAAAAGACTTCCAGCACAATTTGTGTAAACAGCAGCAGGAGCATAAGGCCTCAAAAGGACAGAGGACTGACCCATGGAGCATCACACTCCGGCAGCCGCCCACCAAGCTCCCTCACCACGACAACGGGCTTGAAGGGAAGGAGGCACCGCTTGAAAACTAAAAGAGAATTTCAAACATGAACTGTAATAAGTTATTCATTGCCCCATGACTCTTCGTAATTAGTTAAGCTTACACCTTCTTTCTGTCATTTTAATTTCTTCCTGTACTTAGATCTTTTATTTTATTTTATTTTTAGTTATCATTTTATTGTTTCTTATAACCCTACGCCATTGATCTTCATTTTAACAAAAACTTTTTGCCACTTCCAACTTTTTCTATTCCTGAATTATTCCTCACATTACCAACAGCAATACCGACCTACTCTTATTTCCTGGGGCCTAGGCAGCTGCGGGCCCCATATACTATTTTGACCTAATATGGGTACAAATTTGGGGAAGATAGCTCCCAGAAGTTAATCCCCCAAACTTTTGTTAAACACGGGCAGTGAGGGTGATTGCACTATATCCCTACATGTTTATATATATATCCACAAGATAGTAAACCACTGACCAAATTGAATAACTCATTACAATACCTATTGACAGCCATGGCGCAGATGGTGTGCATGTGGATTTGATGGAGAAGCACGTGACTCGTGAAGGCTACCCAAAGGAGCATTTCTGGGATGTTTTTACTGCGCATGTAGATTTCGATGACCCTAGCGACCATCAGGGGCAAGGTGAAGGAACACATTGGGATGAGGCAGATGGTCAGGTTGACGACGAAGGCCGTCTGGTGGTTGCTGCGTAGCTTCTTGCAGCTCAGGGTCACCACCACCACCATCACATTCGCTGAGGTGTGAACTGTCTGTTAGTCAAGTTTCTCTCGGCGTGTTCAACTCTACCTCAGCTATTGAAACATGTTTTTGCTATTCGGAATAGCAATCTTGGGGGTTCTTCCCCTATCTTAACGATATTTGCGATTACTACTAGTAAGCAGTGCAGAAATGTTATCTTTTACACACTAAAATATTTAATCCTAGAAGGGATAACATCACCCCGTTCCTCCTAATATTTAACTCAACAAGTTGATGGCTCCAATTTTTCTCTATTGCAAAGTCGGTAAATTCTGACAATAAAAACCTGTTTTGATAAGCAAAACGTCGTACCAGTCAAACTGAGGAATTTTATTGGCATTTTAGTAATTATTTAAAATTTAAGATGCAGCGTACTGTGTAATATATCACTAATGGCAGCAAATACCATATATAAATTATATAAATACTCTTCACAGTAATTAAATATTATATATCTTTACTATTTGAGTGTCTGTCCCTAATGCTTCACGGGAGACATCTCCCGTCACGCAGGGTGCAGTTGCACCTCCACAGATCTCCAGTATCATCTATTGATACTGGTAATGGCTCAAAAGGGCCTCCACTTACGGGTTATTCATGCCCGTGCCACCTTTTGGGTGGCTCAATCCTCATCAATCAATCAATCGAACGCTTGGATGGCTTAATCTTTATCAATCAATCTCTCTCTCTCTTTTTCTCTTTGTCTGTCTGTTCAAAGTTGAAGGTCTAGCGGTTACGATGAGGTGATTCCGAGGATAAACGTCCCCACGGCCCGGTCTCTGTACTGTATCATGTACTGTAATTTGTAATTCAAATCTACTATTTAAATTAATTAAAAAAATAATGTGGTGGCAGAAGAAATTTCTCATATAGACAAACAATAACATTTTCTTTATTCTTATTTTCTTCATGCTTATAGCTCGTCAATAATTTACCAGACATAGTACCCATACACTGCTACATCATATTTATGTCATACTGTGAACATTGAGCATTACATCCCATTACTAGTCACTGTCCATTGTGTCATATTTGTGTTCCTTTAGTAAGAAAACTTAAAGTTCTATCATAATGAGAAACAAATGCAAATTTTCTTTCAATTTACTCACCCACAGTTCCCACAGCACACGTAAGAATGTTGCAGATAGCTGTAAATAACAGGACCCCGGGAGTGTAACGGCTGTTTACTTCTGAAGATGTGGAGGTGTTGAGGCTGGTGGCTTGAGAAGATGTGGAGATAAAGAGGCTGGTGGCATCTGAAGATGTGATAGCTGGGATCATTGCTAAGATCTCTGACACCGCCATCCTTCACTGCTTGTATCTTAAGTCTTGACTTTGGGTCTTCCTCCTGTGGGGGGTTTAGAAAGTTAGAGTTTAGCGTTGGAAATAATTCTTTAGTATGTGTGTACTCATCTAGTTGTGCTTGCGGGGGTTGAGCTCTGGCTCTTTGGGTCCGTCTATCAACAGTCAATCAATCAACTTATTTATTATTATTTTTTCCACGCACACACACACACATTACTAGGAAGCAGCCCGTGGCAGCTGTCTAACTCCCAGGTACTTCAACACCATTACAGAGCTGGGACCCCAACACCATCACATTACTTGGATACATAAAATCAAAAATATACTTTTCCAGCGCAGTTATCTGAAGCAATGTGTATGCTTGACATATATTTTCTTTCATTACAATTTATATACAGGATGTTATAAATTAAGGCCACAATATAGCTCTAAACTGTGCTAATACAATTTAGTTTTGAGCACAATTCAATAGTCATAAATTCTTTAGGAAATGCATAAGGATCGATAACAAATTTAATTCTGGGAATTAGAAACTTCTAATGAAGCAAGATTAAACGAATTTATTTTGTTAATAGCTGTAAATCTTAGAGCCAGAGGAGTGCCTGAGACATGATGGAATCCTTAAATTCACACTTAAACAAAATTGACTGTAAATTAAAGTAAGACTCAAGTGGTTTGTTTTTTATGCTATAATTCAATATGTTAGGAGAGCTGTAAATATCAAAGGGTTAGTATGAAAAACGTCATCATTGTTTACTAGACGCTTACAGATATATCATGTTTCTTGCTAACTATGATAACGAGTTGACAACAGGATACGGATATCCTGTCACAGCGTCCTCCCAGGCGGAGATCAACCAGTTCGACATTTAAGTTTTTCCTTCTAATGTTTTTATTTAATATAATCATCATATTTAATTAATAACTAATGCATATACTGAAGGAAAGTTACCTCACTTCTCTTATTAATTCAATTATTTTGAGCCATAGCCAGCCCCTTCAGCCCCGGTGCCCATATCCAGCCCCTTCAGCCCCGGTGCCCATATCCAGCCCCTTCAGCCCCGGTGCCCATACCCAGCCCCTTCAGCCCCGGTGCCCATATCCAGCCCCTTCAGCCCCGGTGCCCATATCCAGCCCCTTCAGCCCCGGTGCCCATATTCAGCCCCTTCAGCCCCGGTGCCCATATCCAGCCCCTTCAGCCCAGGTGCCCATATCCAACCCCTTCAGCCCCGGTGCCCATATCCAGCCACTTCAGCCCCGGTGCCCATATCCAGCCCCTTCAGCCTCGGTGCCCATATCTAGCCCCTTCAGCCCCGGTGCCCATATCCAGCCCCTTCAGCCCCGGTGCCCATATCCAACCCCTTCAGTCCCGGTGCCCATATCCAGCCCCTTAAGCCCGGGTGCCCATATCCAACCCCTTCAGCCCCGGTGCCCATATCCAGCCCCTTCAGCCCCGGTGCCCATATCCAGCCCCTTCAGCCTCGGTGCCCATATCCAGCCCCTTCAGCCCCGGTGCCCATATCCAGCCCCTTCAGCCTCGGTGCCCATATCCAGCCCCTTCAGCCCCGGTGCCCATATCCAGCCCCTTCAGCCTCGGTGCCCATATCCAGCTCCTTCAGCCTCGGTGCCCATATCCAGCCCCTTCAGCCTCGGTGCCCATATCCAGCTCCTTCAGCCTCGGTGCCCATATCCAGCCCCTTCAGCCTCGGTGCCCATATCCAGCCCCTTCAGCCTCGGTGCCCATATCCAGCCACTTCAGCCCCGGTGCCCATATCCAGCCACTGCAACAAGATGTCTAGATTCTCTCGAACCATCGACCACAAAGTGTACCAAGTTGCAACTTAATTAGAGAATGTCTCAGCTCTCTAACGTGGTAAGTGTGTAGAGTCCCACTCTACCTGTGGATAACGCTACCTAGCCATCCACCTCACCCAGCAAGGATACGCTGGATAATCTTCCTGGGTGATGTTACAGGCAAACAGTCTCCAGTTGTCGTCCTAGAGGCTGTTATGACAACAGAAACTACAACAGAGGCGCTAGGATAAATATTCCCGAACCTAAACACGTTATCAGAACTACGAGAGCTAGTAGTTCCACCCACCACATCTCCAGGGGCTCCCATCCTGGACCATCAATGTCTACCCATTAACCAGCAACAACAACTACAGCGGTGACACCTTCAACACCTGTGTCTCAGTAACAAAAGTAACCAACATGTGCAAAGTGGTTAGGCCACGACTCTGAACAACTCATCTCTAGCCTATTGCTCGAAGCTTACTACAGGATTTGTTGAATCCTTATTCAAGCACACTCATCTCATCCTAGCTCACTCACACTCACTATACTCCAGCTTCACACACACTATACTCCAGCTTCACACTCAATATACTCCAGCTTCACACTCAGTATACTCCAGCTTCACACACACTATACTCCACCTTCACACTCAGTATACTCCAGCTTCACACACACTATACTCCACCTTCACACTCAGTATACTCCAGCTTCACACACACTATACTCCACCTTCACACTCAGTATACTCCAGCTTCACACTCAGTATACTCCAGCTTCACACACACTATACTCCACCTTCACACTCAGTATACTCCAGCTTCACACACACTATACTCCACCTTCACACTCAGTATACTCCAGCTTCACACACAGTATACTCCAGCTTCACACACTCACTATACTCCAGCTTCACACTCACTATACTCCAGCTTCACACTCACTATACTCCAGCTTCACACACTCACTATACTCCAGCTTCACACTCACTATACTCCAGCTTCACACACTCACTATACTCCAGCCTCACACTCACTATACTCCAGCTTCACACACACTATACTCCAGCTTCACACACTCACTATACTCCAGCTTCACACACTCACTATACTCCAGCTTCGCACACTCACTATACTCCAGCTTCACACTCACTATACACCAGCTTCACACACTCACTATACTCCAGCTTCACACTCATTATACTCCAGCTTCACCCACACTATACTCCAGCTTCACACTCACTTTACTCCAGCTTCACACACAGTATACTCCAGCTTCACAAACACTATACTCCAGCTTCACACACACTATACTCCAGCTTCACACACACTATACTCCAGCTTCACACTCACTATACTCCAGCTTCACACTCACTATACTCCAGTTTCACAGACACTATACTCCAGCTTCACACACACTATACTCCAGCTTCACACACTCTATACTCCAGCTTCACACTCACTATACTCCAGCTTCACACACAGTATACTCCAGCTTCACACTCACTATACTCCAGCTTCATACTTTATACTCCAGCTTCACACTCACTATACTCCAGCTTCATACATTATACTCCAGCTTCACACTCACTATACTCCAGCCTCACACATTATACTCCAGCTTCACACACACTATACTCCAGCTTCACACACTATACTCCAGCTTCACACACTATACTCCAGCTTCACACACTATACTCCAGCTTCACACACTATACTCCTGCCTCACACACTATACTCCAGCTTCACACACTATACTCCAGCTTCACACACTATACTCCAGCTTCACACACTATACTCCAGCTTCACACACTATACTCCAGCTTCACACACTATACTCCAGCTTCACACACTATACTCCAGCTTCACACACTATACTCCAGCTTCACATACTATAATCCAGCTTCACACACTATACTCCAGCTTCACACACTATACTCCAGCTTCACGCACTATTCTCCAGCTTCACACACTATACTCCAGCTTCACATACTATACTCCAGCTTCACACACTATACTCCAGCTTCACATACTATACTCCAGCTTCACACACTATGCTCCAGCTTCACACACAGGAAAGGCTGGACCCCACGGCGACAATCAACACAACTTCTATCAGCGCTAACCTTCCTCTTTGACTCCTGGAGTAAGACTGAGTCTGGTCTTGCCAGGTCTTCGGTTATGACTCCTTAACCCGAATATTCATTTAAAAAAAGATTACTGATCGTATTGCCACGTGAAAGTTGACTATTCAATCTGTCACGTGACAGATTGAGACCTATCTATCTTTTTGATAGATAGTCAATCCTTCTAGAATTTTCTAGAAGGATTCCCCATTTTGAAAACACGTTGAGTGAATTAAATGTTATAATTCAGGTTTATTGTGGTTGATAATTGATGTGACTGTGGCGTGGATCACCTAGTTCCTCCGTGCTCCAGTGACAGCCCGGGGGAGGCTCAAAGTTACAATTGGGCAGCAGTTAGTTACTTCTGGAATCTTTCCTTATTGTGGATAGCGCTTGTAGCTTGGCTGATAGAGCGACCGTCTCCCGTGCTTCGGGTCAGTGGTTCAACGCTCGTAGTGTCTAGGTGAATGAAACTACTACATATATACACAAATGAAAATGTTCGTTTTGTTCTAAATCGCTAATCTTTGAATATTCGTCACCCTTTGTTTTGAAATTTTGACACAACGTTCTATTCGCATACGAGCGTGTTTTTATATACATACTATATAAATGCCTCACCCGTGACAGGTAAAAAACATGTTTTTTTTTGGTTTAAACAGCGCCATCTCTTGGTCGTAAAAGCAACACACACTGTAATCACCAAAAGTTCTTCACCGATTGCTTTGAAATTTTGACATAATGTTGCACTGGAATTCGTTCGTGTTTTTATACATCCACTATATAGATGCCGCACCTGTGACAGGTAAAACATTGTTTTTTTAGCTGCATTTTTCATGAGGGAATAGTGGGGAGGACGGGAGTGGGGAATGGTGGGGAGGACGAAGGGACGGGGAAGGGTTGCTGTGGTTCAGCAACGCATGGCCGGGTACAGCTAGTGTGTGTGTGTGTGTGTGTGTGTGTGTGTGTGTGTGTGTGTGTGTGTGTGTGTTTTACTCACCTATTTATACTCACCTATTTGTACTCACCTATTTGTGCTTGCGGGGATTGAGCTTTGGCTCTTTGGTCCCGCCTCTCAACTGTCAATCAACTGGTGTACAGATTAAGCATGTGTGCGTGC